GTTAGTATTTTTTGTTCTTTCTATACCTTGTTATGGATGAAATTGCAATTAAGAAATGTATTTTTGTGTTTATCTTGCATGTACAACAAGAAATTAAAGTGGAAAACCCAAAGAAGACATTGAGCTTAAAGGTACAAACTGGCACTAGTGTCTGAGCGCTAGACCCCTTGGGCGCCTAGACGCCAGTCCCTGGTTTTCCAACTTGAGAGGTTGGCGCTTAGATGTCGACCATTGGGCGCCAAGGTGTCGAAATCCTTGGGCACTTAAGCGCTCGTCCACTCTTCAACAAACAGAGAGCTTAGAGCGTAGGCATCAGCCCATGGGAGTTCAGGCGTTAGAAACTATCAAGTGCAGTTGTTGCAGTTTGGGACTTTAGATGCGTGGAAGGTGTGGGGGTTCGTGCAAAGTTGTAGAAGATTCACTGGAGCCAAGTTATAGAGCCTATAAATAGTAGTACATTATAGGCTTAGGGAAGATTGATGCCAGTTGGTTAATTAGTGGGTTTTGCTTGCTGTGGAGATCTCTTTATCTTCTTTCAGTGCAAAGGACATGGAGAGTTCTACAAGAGCAACGTCCTAGGAATTCAGGAAGATTGATGATTAGTTCATCTTCTAGTCATTATAAAGAAGGGAATGCTAAGTTTTTTTGTGTACATTTTATTTTCTTTCAGTTGTAACAAATAGATAGTGTATTTCCCTTTGTTTCAATGAATCTCTTTGGTGTTTTCATCATGCCTCTTGAGTAGACTTTTTACTCTTCTTTGTAATGATTAAGTAGGATTGATGGAATGAGAATTGTGTAGTATTTTAATTACTATATATGGTGATGATAAACCTTTAGGGCTTAATTGCTTTTCATTTTGACAAAGTGAATTGTTAAAATATGTTGTGAACCATAAGTTTTCAAAAAGTCTATAGTAGAATCAACTAGGTTTATCACATTAACCTATGGGGTGTAGGTGGATATGTCTTGTAAAAAGATGCAAATGTTAGGGAAATATGCTTTTATGGGTTAGCTTTGGAATTTATGGAATTAAAGTCATTTCTAACCTAGCTTCTTTATGTCTGGGGGGGTGTGGGGGGGTAAAGAAGATTATTGCTCTTATTTGTCACTATACTTTTCTACTTTCAATTGTCAATTTCGTAATATTTTCTTAACTCATTATAACAAAGAGCCACAAAGTATTTGTTACTTTCAATATAATTGTGATAATTTAGGATTACTTTTGTAAGACTTAAACTTTTTATTTGCATGTGATACTTTAGGATTACTTTGTAGGATTATGAAAACCCAAATTTCAGGCTAGGATTAAAACAAGTTGGCTAGAATATTTCCTAACAATGATTATCGTATTCCCTGTGAGATCAACATTCCAGACTCTAAATTCTCATATTAATAATATGACATGTGTACTTTCTTGAACCCCCTCTGTGTTGTAGCACCTGAAATTGGTATTAGATAGTACTTTCTAAGCCCCAATATCTCTCATAATAACTCAAATGACATTTTGTCACCTTCCAAAACTAGGAAGCCTAATTAGAAAATTGTTTCTCCTCCTATCTTTTTTTTGTCTTTTCCAAAACATTATTTCTTAGATTATTTTCTCATTCATATTCTTTCTTGATTGATTGGTTATTTCATAATCTATCAAAATTCTTATGACTTTTATGTAATTTGAAAATCAAGATGCATGAAGAAATTTTTTTTTGTAATTAACTACTTATGTTGATGCATACATTAAAAATTATTGGTTAATTCTGTAAGACTTAAATTTTTTTATGAGAAATATTGTGGTAGTCCCCCTCTTTCATATAAGTTGGTTGATTTTAATTTACATGTATTTAACTCAAGTCTTCTAGAACTCCCTAATACTTGTCATTCTCTTAGTTGATTCATTCCATAATTGAATAATCTCGTTAGATGTTTATTGGGTGAAGCTTCTTATAATAATTAAAGGCTAAAACATTCTTCAAAATCCCACTTCAAATCTCTATATCCTCTGATTACTCTCCTATTTTATTTTACTGAGGAATACCATCTCCCTCAAATGTCTAAATAATTACGACTTTATTTTTTTAGATTTCAAATATTTTTATTCATTTATTTTTGCCTGTTGTAATGATTTAACTATGTTAAGAGAACCTTTTAAACTATCAATTTAAGCTCTTTGAAACACTTTTCCAAAACTATTTTCAATCTCAAGATGATTAATGCAAAAAAAGTCTCAAGATTTATAGGGGCGTTCTCTTACTCCATCCTTATTCAGTACACTCTTTATAATCAAAAGACCATGGTTGATACTACAATATATCAGAATAATAGGATAATGAAATGTGCAAAGTGCCCCTGGCTTTAAGAAATGAATATGATATTAAATTCTTTTATATAAAATTAAAAATCAAATCAACATTAAAGTCTTATCATGCAACTCTAATTCCATGCTCCCAAGAAGACAATGCATGAATAGTGATTTCATACTTTTTTACACTTCTTAATAGTAAATATACTAATCTCAATTTATTTTTATATGGCTTTCCAAAATGTAACACTCTCTTTCGAGGTCTATACCTATCTTTTGGTGGGCTTCACTGGTGAGAATATTAAGCTTGCTTTTTTAAATATTGATGTCGTAAAAGTTGTAATCCCGATTTATTTTTATATAAATTTCCAACATGTTACATTCTCTTTTGAGCACTATGCTTCACCGATGAGAATTTTAAGCCTTCTTTTTTTTAAAATTGCTACTGTCAAAGCTCATCAACTTATTGGTTTCAAGTCTAAGTTTTTTATAAAATTATTGGCAAATCAATGGTTCCTCTTTTATTGCGGTTATTGATTACTTGTATTCATCTTCCAAGTTTCAAATCAAGTTAAGCATTTTATTATAACTTTGATCCCTAAACATGCTCATGCTAAAAGTTTAAATGATCACAGGTCAATATCTTTATGTAACACAATTAATAAAGTTATCACTAAAGTCAGTGTTGGTAGACTCAAAGTTATAACTCTCAGATTGATTCATCATACTCAAACTATCAGTTAATGTCATCCTTGAAAAGTAATTCGCTTATGAATTTTGCTCACAACATACTCCTAACTACTTCTTCACCAAAAGCGATATTAGTAAAACCTTTATGTCAATTGCTTCTTTTATATAATAAAATGAAAATCTTGAGATTTCTTGTTACTTTCATCAATTGAATAATAGAAAATACTTCAAAATTTAATTTCTATGTAATTATTAATGGGAATTTAATAGTTTATTTCTCATCCTTCTTACATTTTTGTCAGGGTTGTCGATCTTCATCTTCTTCTTCTTCTTCTTCTTCTTTTTCCACTTATTATGAACAATTTTCTAAACTTGTTAAAGTCCAATCTATTGAGTTCAATTTTAACAATATCATTGGTAATAACACTAACTCCCGTTTGATTTGCCATTTTGGTGTTTTGCAGAGCTGATTTTAAACCCATTCGAGGTACAAATTCTATCTAGATGTCTTTAAAAAGTCTGGTGGATTTTGATGTAATATTAATAAATCAACCATCTGCTTCTCTAAGGTCATCCATATGCATACTAAGAAGCAAGTTCATGGTATTTTGATGTTCTATTTTAAAATGCTATTAAAATTTGGGTACTATTTTCTTAGAATAATACCACATTGGGTCTCCAATCTCAGGTTGTTTTATATACTGAGTTAAGCCAAATTAGTATGGAGGCTGCATAACTTTATGTTGTGACTTACATCCTAACTTCTAAGCAACTCTGATTCTCATTTAGGGATGTAACAAGTTGAATCGAGCTCAAGCCACCCTTATTTAGAGCTTGATTAATTAACTGTCTTTGAGCTCGAGCTTAAGGGTCTGTTTGGGGCAGCTTGTGCGTTTCAGGATAACCAAGGATAAGCTGTTTATCCTGAAATGTGGCCCGCGGGCGAAACGCGTGAATCAAACGGTACGGCGGCGTTTTGAAAATGTCGTCCGCACTTATAAGCTGCCCCAAATGGACCCTAAGTCTATAAGTTTGAGCTTACATACTTATTACAAAAAAAAAATGTAAAATATTAATGTAAGCCAATTTTATAATTAAATGACAAATACAATCGACGATTAAGTAATAAAAAATAAAAATAGCATTATATAAAAGATAAAATATCATTTTTAAATATTTGTTTTAATTTAAATATAAATTATTAAAATTTAATATATTTTTAGTATATTTTATGATAATATTTGTGTAAACGAGCAGACTCACGAGCTAATGAGTCGAGTCAAATCTGACTTGAGTTTTTGCTTGTTAGCTCATCGACCTTTGCTCATGAGCCACTTATCAATCCAAATTTAAACTGGCTCACGAGTCGGCAGGCTTACACCCCTGCTCAAGATCTCATTCTTCTTGAAAGCTTCATGGAAATACATAGCAATTGGGTTGTATGTATGTAAGATGCCCCAATAAACGATGAATGCAAGTACTCCTCTTTTATGATACATTGCTCAATTGAGAGTCTCTCACTAAACACTTTGGGAATTATCATTTCTCATGGTTTAATGGCAACAATATTGTTAAAGTAAGGGTGTGTTTGGGACATCTTGTGCTTGTCCAGATAAGCCGCTTATTTAGAAATACGGACCACAAAATGTGACCCGCATTCCGCGTTTAGTATAAAAAATCATCTCAAAATAAGTTTTCAAACGGTGAGGCAGCGTTTTCAAAACTCTCCCACAGCGGATAAGCTATCCCAAACGGAGCCTAAATCACTTCATTAAAGATGAGTGTTTTTAAGCAATTGTAAGCAAGAAAAAACAATTACTTAGATCTGGATTAATTAAAGCTACAATTTGATTAAACCACAGCCAGCTTTAACATTTTGAATTTTTAATTTTACTTAAAGCAGCTTAAGCTATTAAACAACCGGTCATATTTCAGATTTCAGAATAGAAAAACAATACAAAAAGGCAGACAGAATTCCCAAAAAAAAAAAAAAAAAAAAAAAAAAAAAAAAGATCCCACAGATTGATTAGCTTGCTGAAAAAAAAAAAACAGATTTTACAATACAATAAATAGATTCAAGGGAACCGAACCGGGTCCAATTCACGAGCCGATCGATTTTCTCATATTCCCCAAATATCTTCTCCTAGCCACCTTCTTCGTCTTCCCACTTCTCACGGATTTCTCTCCTTCTGCCTCTCAAAATTTCGACCTTTACCTTTCTACAGCCCCAGCAGAATATAGTATACCAGCGTTATGGGCAGAGCTATCAGCATTCCAAATATAACCCTGCGTTAAATACAAAAATAAACGATTGTAGTTAGGAAAAAATAATCAAAATCAGATTTTTAGTTAATCAAACAGAGTAATTAGGGCCCTCACGCTGTGCTGAGAATGGAAGGATGAACACTGTACTCTTTAGCGAAGACGAAGGGGACGATCCCCTGCGGAAGCGCCGCCTGTTAATTGCTTGATTCAGAACAGAGTTAGTATTTAATTACACATGTCGTAAAGACTGATGGTATACGAAGAGAGAGAGAGAGAGAGAGAGAGAGAG